TAAGAAAATAGTTTATTTTATTTAACTTTTAACTTACTGATCTTTACTATTTCATTTTCAATCAAGCTTTTAGCGCATAAAGATGCCCTTGAAGTTTCTGGATCAAGACGGCTTCGAGTATGTGATATGGTATTTGTTGTGACTGAAAATGCCTGTGTACAAGCTATACTGGTAGCCTGAATTGACAAGTAATCTCTTGATATTCGTGCTAGTATTGAAAACTCTTTTTCATATGCCTTCTACTATAATAATGGTGCAACATTCTCATCACAAGGCAAAGCTAAGTATTTCTCCAATTCATCAGTAGAGTTTTGATTTGTTTCAGAATCTGATTCTGAACAATATCGTTTAAGTTCCTTAAAGTAATCACATATTGTACTAATATCATCTTTTTTAGAATGCAGGTTGTGAGCTGGCTTATCAGTTAAAGTAGTATGGTATTGATTAAATACTTTCCTAGTTTTATTAACTGTATCAGTAGTTTTTTGTCCTACTTTAAAGAGCAATAATTTGGTTTGTGAGTCAAGAATTGATGCAACAGTAGTATCATCATCAATTATATATTTATATTGATCAATTTTTTTATTAATTGATGCAGCTAATATATATTGGTTAAATTCACTATCTTCTACATATCTTTCAAGATATTCTTAAATATGGCTAAATAAGAATCGAACATCTACAATTGTTGGATATGAAGTTGCAAACAGTAACTTTGTAGCTTTTTCTAATGGTTCTATTAAGCTAAGTATTTTCTTATTAAAAATATTTAAATTAATATTAGACTAAGCAAAATTAATTAATTATTTTTTTATAACCCAGTAGGGTCAAATTTTTTCTTAAAAAAAGCTAACCAGGTAAAAATTTCATATTATAAAAACGAAGCAATTAAATTTGTATAGGCTTAAATTATTATACCTTAATTTTTGTCCATGCATCTGGTGTAGGCATTAAACTTTGAATCTTATTATGATTAACAGCTAGCATTCTTAATGCAGGTTGCATTCGTGACATTTTATTTAATATATAATATGTGCTATTCCATCTAGTTATGATATCTAATATTGGTTTTAGGTAATCTAATTTTTGCACATTATATAGCTCTTTTAATTCATCATATAAGACTGTTGATCCTTTAATTTTTGACATTAATGTGCATATATTAACAACGTCTTGATCAACAATTTCCAGTCTATGACGTGCAGCTAAATTTAGAATATAAGCACTACACCTGTAATGGTGAAAGGTTTGACAATTCAATTCTTTCTGCAAGTTATTTGCTAAGATGCGTCCACAAACTAATATTGCCGACTCATTATCAATAATAAGCACTAATATTTTAGTAATTAGGTTAAATTCTTCAAGAACATTATTAATTGCTGCTGCTATGTTTGCTTCTATATGTAGGATTGTATTACAAAAGTTACAAACTTGCAATAAATATAATTTTATATACTATATAGATATGAAATAATGCCTAGAAGACCCTACCTGTATGATGTGTAGTAAAAGGAATAATATCCAACAAAAATCGATGAAATACCCATTGCTGATCTATATAGTGAATCATGATGCAAAGAAAGGCATCATTATTAATGATTGATATTCACATATCTGAAGTTAAGAAAACTTTTCCTGGGATTTGATTCAAAATATCAGTTATCTTTGTTCTTTAATCATTAAAATAGCTAACAATCATGTTTTTAACCTGACGACATTCAGGGATTTTGTAGTGTCGATCAAATATACCAATTAATTCAATGAATTTTTTGTTTTCAACAACACAAAAAGGTTGTTGATCTACGATAATCCAAGTGATTAGAGCTAGATCACGTTCTTTTTTTTGTGTGTCAGGCTATGGATTATCACAAACAAAAGGTAATTTTGTTTGATAGCACTTAATCTTTGGAATAATAATATTATGTTGACTATTTAGATGTCTCTCTAAACTAGAATTACCACTCTTAGATGAGAACTTTTGACCACATTTATCACAAATAGGAATATCAGAATATTTAGAGTCGAAACTATAATATTGCCACAAAGGTGATGGTCTTTCTGTATTCTTTGAATTAGTTGATATACTTCCTTCAGATGTTTGAATTAATTGATTATCTGATCTTGAATTGGTTGATATATTTCCTTTGGATATTTGTGTTAGTTGATCATCTAATTTATCATTTTGGCCATAATATTTATCACTTTCGAAATCCATTTTTTTTTAAAAAAAATTTCAACTTAATCAATTCGTAATTTATATAAAAAAAAGAGGTTTTACGAATTACAAAATATATAATTAATTTTATTTTTATTTTACATTACAGATAGCCTTGGGGCTTTGCTACAATGATTGAATCTCTAACCATTATGACTATTTTAAGTATTGGAGAAGCTATAGCTGATGATAAGTAATTTTATAACTGTGACCTTTGCTACAATAATTAGTTCTCTAACCAATATGACTATTTTAAGTATCGGGGAATCTATAGTTGATGATAAGTAATTCATACTAATTTTATGACTATGACCTTTGCTACAACGATTAGAATCTCTAACCAATATGACTATTTTAAGTATCGGGGGATCTATAGCTAATGATAAATAATTCATACTAATTTTATGACTATGACTTTAGTTCCCATCATTGAATATTAGAGGTGTCTTACTATTGTTCATCAATGGAGCATCGCCTCAAGCCAAACCTAAATTGGTATTTATTAAATTCCTTCGCTTTTGTTGATCAATGCATATTTCAGGTCCTGAGTTATATGCTTAGATCACATTTTTCACTATTGCTAGATCACATTAGGGTGCGGCCTAAACTAATTAAATCAAACATTAGTTAGAGTAATATATGAAAATATAATATAACATAGCTTTGACTATTATTATAAATGTGAATTTATTAGAGAATGCAATACTTAAAAGACTGTATAAATTAAAAATAAAGTGGTCAATAAACTTGCCTTAGAAGTTTTCTATATTTATCGGATTACTGGATAAGCTAAATATGACTTGAAGTATTATAAGAATTTATCTTTTTTGGCATTATTTATATTAGGACCTATAAAAGACCTATGGACCCGGGTTCCAAAATTTGGACCTGGTTTTTGTAAATTAGGTCCTAGGACTGGGTTCTAAGGTTCCGGACTTGAAAACTTTGCCATCTCTAACCCTTGGTGCTACTGAGATAGTTGGAATTATAATAATAGTTGCAATTTAGTTTTATCATAGTATAAATCTGGATTTAAAAACATTATATCACGTTAGGGTAGAGACATTTATCAGATGATTTCCACCTCTTAAGAGGGCTACCCCCCTTCCCCCTACCTGATACTAAACTAGCCAATCAAATTCAAGCAAATAATATACTGTATATAGTTTAATTCTTATACTATATA